CTGGCCGTGGCCTGCGCTGGCGGGGAGCGGCGCTCGCAGCCCCGCCGCGCTCGGGCCGCTCCCTGCCCTTCGTGAGGGGAGGCTTCTGCGAGCCCTAGCACCAGGGGTTTTCTTGCATGCCGGTTGGTTTCTTGGGTGATCTCTCCTGCGGCTTGCACGGTCTTCGGCGTGCGGTATCGCCTTCCACGTGAGGCGATTAGTTTTTCCGGTGTGGTAGCTCAGTCTCGTAGGAGTTTTACAGGGCTGAAATCTACAGCTTCTCCCTTCAGCTTGAGAGAAGCTTGCTCAAGCCTCGCCAAGGGGTGCGTAAACAGACAAGCGTGAAATTACATGGTCTGTTTTTCTCAGTTCTGTGGGGACTAGGATAAAACAGTCCCTCTACTTGGGACAGTGTCATAGTTTCAACAGTTTAGTTGATCAATTAGTGTTTTTAAACGAATCTTGTAAAAAGCAACCCCTCCCTGTTCCACCCCCTTTTTTCTTCGTTCAATCTGACCGTTAAAGCTGGTGCAGACTTGCAGTGACCTCAACAAACTAGAAGTGGTTTAAAAGTGGAACTGATGCCTCAGTGTGGTTCCGTGTGCTGCTTTGTAAGTGCCTGTGGCTGCTGAAGGAGGAGGCTGCCCTGCTCGTCTAGGGAACGATGGAATGGATGATTGCTCTTAAGAAGCAAGATTAATTTGAACTGATCGTGGATTAGTGCTGTAAACAAATAACTGTTTGGCTTGTAGGTGTTTCTTGCTCCTCTGTTTTAATAATGTGATGAAGGGCACTCTTTTCTATGGGATTATAGTTTCTATGACCTTTTTTAGATTTTGGTGTCACTTGGCTTGAAAACTGCTCAGTGAGCAGCAATGTAATAAAAAAATGCATAGATGTGGTAGGTAGATTGTAGTTGTCTGAGCTGATTGTTGTTTCTTATAATTGTATTATGAGATAGTAACGCTTGAACTGCAAACTATTGGGAAGTAAAACTTGTTGTCTTGGTAGCTTAGTGAAATCAGTCTTTGTGTGTTAAAGACAGAGCTACTTTCATGACCTAGTCTGGGAACCCAAAATAACCAATCATATGGAATACTGATTCGTGTCCTCTCTTCTTGCAGCTTGAGGTTTTACACATGGTTTACATGAGACTCCTGCAGAAGGTGTATGGAATCCGCCTGGAGCATTTCTACATGGTATGTCTGTGGTGGCAGGTGAAACTAAATGTGAAAGGAAAAAAAAATTGCATTTAAATGTCAGAGCATCTCCCTCTTAGCTGCTTGCCATTGATAATGAGAAGACTGCTGTTTTGTCTATTTTAATTGCATGAATGGGAGCTTAGAAATTCTGCCTCTATTGCAGAAGACTTGTGTGTTAGATGCTGCATACCCATGGGCATTTGTGCTTGTGTTCAGGGAGACAACCAGTGTGTTCACTTAGGCAGGAATGAGAGTGCAGTACTGCAGTGCAGCCATCAAAGTGGATTGTTTGCCAGAGGTAAATGAACCTGGAAGCATTATTTGTGGGCTGTTGCTGAGGCCTTGCTGATTATGTTCTGAGAAGTTTCTTTGATCATTTCTCCTGGTCTGGAAATTGGCTTCAGCTCAAGATACTTGTAGATACAGTAGAATAGTGATTTTGTGGGTGTGCTGTCTCTGGGTATCCTTTTTTTTTTTTTTAAATGGAGAGGAGACTTCCTTCTGCACTACAGGAACTAGTGGATGTGAAGAGGAGCTCACCACTGTAGAGAGCCCTTTCCTTCTGCAGTTGAGGTGTGAATCCTGTTCTTTGAGATTCTGGGGGTGATAGAAATGTCTATAAGGTCAAGTAGGGATTGGACCAGTTTATGAAGGGACACCATCTCTGGCCTTATAAAGATGTACTGTCGTCTTGGGCATCTGCCTTTGGCTGTGGCTGGAGGAGCATCTCTGCTTAAATGTTGGACTGACCTAGAAGGAAAGTAAATGTTGCTTTTAATGGGGAAGTTGAGATGATCAAACACTAACTGAGAAGAAAGTAAGGAGAACTGCAGCTGGAGGTTAACTGATACCTTGTTGATTAATACCTGATTTATCTTCTGTCTCTGTTGGACAAGAAGTGGTTCCTGAAAGTGAGAATAAATAGTATTGTCTTGTGCCATTTTTGGGTAAACTGAAAGGGAGGCTCATATGTGCACCGGGTAACTCAGTTCTTCACAGGCGGTGACATTATCTGGGGTACTGTATTAAGAGGCTTAAAATATCAGAAAAAAATGAGTGTACTGCTATCTTCTCATGTTAGGTGTGTAATGCAGAGATTGTCTTTCTGCACCAGTTAGAACAAATTAAAACAGAGGGTTAGATTGAATTCAAGAATTTGTAATGTTGCTGCTTTAATTATTGTTGTCTTTTTATATTTTGACCAGCCAAAATTAATACCTAAAATAGTCTGGTGATTAACCTGATGGTATTCTGTGACCTCTAGTGTGTTTCCTGTGGATGGGGAGATGGTCCTCAGTGTGTTCAACCTATTTGAACTACCTTATGTTGTGGAAACAAACTTGTGTATTTTTAAGTATTTTCTACTTATGCATTGACTCTCTTTACTCTAGATGCCAGTCAACGTTGACATAATGTATCCACAGATATTTGAAGGCTTTCTACCTGTTTGCAATTTGTATATTCACATGTAAGTAGAAGATGCTGCATTTGTTCAGTTGCTATTCCTTGTGAAGGTCCGGTTTACTGGAAGTAGTGGGGTTTTATGCCTTTTTCCTGATGGTGGTTTCGCTGCCTGTTGGCTCCAAGTAAAGTGAAATTTGTATATGAGCAGGGGACAGCAATGTTAATAAATTCTCAGCAGGGAGATATCTTGTTAAGATGAAAGTGTTAACCAAATAATCCAGCCTTACCAAGATGGAGCACAAATCTATACTTTGAGTGGCTAGAGGGTCATCATTACACCTGGAAGAGGGATTTTAAGTACCCATTGTATAAACTTGCTGTCTGAATTCTGTGGAGATACCTTTGTTGGAATGAGACGAGTGTTAGACTTTCAGCTTCCTTTCAGTTGTAAGGGTAGAACTGACTAACAGTTAAGTCTAAGAGCTCCATAATTAAGCTGAAAAGTTGTTCTACAGGCTGGCATTTTGTCTATAGAAGTCTTTGAGATGCTGTAAGAATACAAATTTCTTTAATTTGTAAAGTGTGTGGAGTCCTACTTTCTCTCGAGGCTTAGTGTTTTGTGCTTGCTGACCATGTTCTCTGGGACAAGAGGAGGTCTGTTTTCTAGTAAATGGATATAGCACAAGACCTGAGTAATGGTCATTGCAGGTAAGGTTGTATTTTGTTTTCCTTGCAGGGAGCGTTTACTTCCAGTGTGCCGGATTACTGATTTTCAAATTGCTGATGTTTTAAACCCAAGTAAGCAAGTGCATTGTAATTCTCATGTTTCCTGGGGTGGTGGGTGTCACTTGATATCCAGGTGTGTTTTCTCATTTGGCACAGGCAGATGGGCATCTAGTATGGAGAACTGTCCCTGGCTTCCAGCTACTCTTCTGACCCTTGCTGTGGCCATTAGACAAGCTGGTTCTAATGAGCAGTTCTCCTTGTTCCTTAGATAGGCTAATCCAGTTAAATAACTGAGGGGAGTTTTGAATGCTATGAGTCTGTGGAGCCACTGGTCTGGAGAGCGGACTGTGACATGCATGAAATAGCACAAGAACAGTGTAAGATAGTAATGAAAATTATCCTAGCAACTCTGGAA